CAAGGGGTGGAGCAAAAGACCTCCTCCCCCAGCACAGCCAAGTGCAGGCCATCTCAGACACCTGCACTCAGGCCCGTGGTCCTGATCATCCTCTATTCGGACCTGCTGGGTAAAGCCACGAGGAACCCCAGAACGGGCTCCCACATAGGATCAAAGACAGGAAGGTGGCTTTGTTTCTTTAGAATACAGATTCTGCAGAAGGAAACGGCAGGAGGTGGTGATAGTAGCATGGGTTAGTTTAAACTAACAACCAAGAAGTGCAAGACCCGCTTTTATCTTGAAACTTTTAGTGAGCCCGCATAAGGCAATGCTTTATCCATTATCTGGGAAAATATATGATAACTAATCAGTTGCTAGAAAAGGAGCAGTTTTTAACTGATCTGCAGCCCATTCATCTCAATAACAATGGCACACGCTTATAATTATAGGATGATCACACAGTGTATAGCCATAACACAGAGAGCAGAAACCCATTCTATTCTAGCAACACTAGGAATTTTTGTCACTTTTCTCATTGCTGTGACACGTGTTCAAGAAAAGAGAGAGAGAGATAAAATTGAAATGACTACATCTTTGAAAGATTACGTGACAGAAGCAACTCAGGAGAGGAAGGATGTATTTTTGCTCATGGTTTCAGGTGGGAAAGTTGTGGCTGAACAGACCACAGCAAGGGGAGCTCCTGTCCATTGTGAAAAGAGCATGAGGAGGCTTGCTCGCATCTCCACAGACTAGGAAGCACACAGAGCTCAGGCAGAAAGGGCAACCCGCTGTAGTCTGTAAGGCCTGCACACCAGCTCCATCGTGGAGTCCTGGCTGGACTTAAACACATGGGGATCTACTACCTCTGCCTCTCAAGTGCTAGGAATAAAGGCATGTACCATCATGCCCCCAAGGGAGCAGGTTTTTAAGTACAAAAATGGTAATTTGTTTAGAGCAGAAAAATTAACTCAGAGGATAAACAGCTGAAAAGTTACTTGGGAACAAAGATGCTGATGAGGAGGAGGAGGAATGAAAAGAACGATGTTTGGGCTATGTTGAGGAGGAATGAAAAGAATGATGTTTGGGCTATGTTGAGGAGAAGACAGTGTGAATGAATATATAACAAGAGTATGCAATGGGCAGGATCCAGGAAGACCCTCCAATATTCAGAGATGACAATCAATCACACTCATAATTTCTGCTTTTGGTTTTAATTCTAGAATGCAAAGAAACTGTACTCCGTTGGGGAGGAAGTTGAAATTTCCTGTCTTACTGGATTCAAAGCTGTGGGATACCAGTACTACAGATGTTTACCAGACAGAACCTGGAGGCAAGGAGATGTCGAATGCCAACGTGAGAGCGGGACAAGCGATTGCATGACTCCCCTGCAGAATGAATGTGCCCAATACAAATAGAGCAAAATCGGTTCAGTTCATTTTACTATTTGTTTTTTAGTAACTGTGGTGAAAAGACTTAATGAAGCAGTAAATGGGGTTCATTTGCTAAAGTGATATTTTAAAATACCAGATTTCAGCTCTCCTGCCCTTGCATATTAGCCTCATGCACATAGCGCTATGAAGTATGTCTCTAAACAAGAAATGCATGGAACCAGAAAACTTATCTAACCACAAGAATCTGCCTTGGGTGATGTAAAAATTGAAACAAATGGATAAATCCCCCAAAAAAGATAACGCTCAGATTTGGGGTTTTGTATGAGTTGCCATTATCTCCAACCCACTATTCTTGAAGGAGGGGTACAATCACATCCTTTACTGGGAAAGATTTAATAAACATGTTTCCTGTGACTACCCATGCTGTGGGAAGGTAAAAACTGAGATGCAAACAAGACTCATAAGTAGACCTCAAATACCTTATGGGACTACTTACATTTAAAATGCCCTGCACCTGTCACTCAACAGTGTTGTGATTTACCTTAAGAAAAACACAAAAAGTAGATAGAGGGATGGTTTGGAAGGTAAGAGCACTTGCTACTCACGCAGAGGATCCAGATTTGATTCCAAGAACCCCACGGCAGCTGTCAACCATCTGTATATACAGTTCCAGAAGATCTAGCACCCTCTTCTGACTCCATAGGCATGGCATTAGGCACACATGTGGTTCACACACGCACATGCATGCAAACACACGTCTACATAAAATAAAAATAAATCTTTAAACAGAAAGAAAAACTCAAGAGGTATAAGAGTAAAATAAATATTTCTTGAAAGAAAAATATTCAAAAGCTGTAACAAAAGTCAGATGTTTCTGGAGCTAATTCCTTGGCAAATAGAGCTCAGCTGTCAGAACAAATGGCTTTTTAGTGGTGTTTCTGAGAAGTTAGGGGTCCAAATTTCACTGACTAAGAGGAGGTCCCATGACTGGACAAACACAGTAAAGCTCACTAGCATTACCTCTTTAGTCACATATCATCTGCCTATTGTTAACTATTCTGCTCCACTGAACACATCTGAGGTATTTCTCTCCCTGCAGGGACCGAGTGCCTCAAGCCAGTTGTTCAAGATGTCCTGACAATCTCCCCATTTCAGAGAGTGTATAAGATTGGTGAATCCATTGAGCTGACATGTCCCAAAGGCTTTGTTGTTTCTGGGCCATCAAGATACACATGCGAGGGAGACTCCTGGACTCCTCCCATTTCAAATTCGTTGACCTGCGAAAAAGGTGATTTGGGATTCTCATATGGTTTGGCTCCACAGGATGGGTAATTCAGCATCTGCAACATTGATGCTTCTCAAGTGCATTTTAGACAACAGGGGATCCTGTGTCAATGATGAGATAGCACCTTACCAGCCAAGTGAATGTCTTTACATCTTAGAGAGTGAGTTCAATTTCCAATTCCAATAGAAAACTTGGTTATTTACAGACAGTCCAAGGAATGCAAGTTCTCTCATCTAACAAGATTAGAACTGATAGCTAACTGAAAATTTTGGTTCAAATAAAGAACAATAAGAAGTGGGAGGCATATAATTAGGCATTATATTAATTACCTAAATCTGAAATTTCCTAGTGGCTTTTAGTCCATCATCTGATTCTTCCAATATCAGCTTCTCTAAACAATGTCTCTCAGTGCTGGGTGGCATCCTTTTAAAATCTGCCCAAGCCCCATCTTTCTGATATTGGTGTTACCGAACTGGAAAGAAATCAGTGTCTGATATCTGTTTAAAATGCTCCCAGCTGGAGAAAATTTTGAATATTTTTCCCACAAAGAAGTAGAAGAAATAGATCTGTTAACCTTGATTACAACACTAATGTGTGCATGTACCAAAATGTCACATGGAACACCGAGAATATAAACACATTTTATATATCAATTTTAAAAGTTTTTAGTCAATATAAAATTTTAAGAAACCTCCCTTGGCAAATCCTGTGTCCCTAGAGATGAGAACAATTGTTTTGAAGAGAAAAAAATAGAGAGAAATATCTTTGAAACAACTGACTAGAGAACACTACTGAATTTTCATATTTCCCTAGATCTTTTTAGTGGTCTCATCCACAACTAATTTAAAAATGGGTTTTGTAAATCACTTTTATTTAACTATTTAAAGCCTTTGTCTTAAAAATAAGTCCATTTTTTCTTTATTTTGACATTTTACATGTTGAATCAATTTATATAACAAGGATAGCTGGATTTTTCAAATGTTTAATTACCTTTTGGAGTGGTGTGTGTGTGTGAGAGAGAGGGGGCAGGGGGAAAGAGAGAGAGAGAGAGAGAGAGAGAGAGAGAGAGAGAGAGAGAGAGAGAGAGAGAGAGAGAGAGAGAATTTGTATTACACATGTATGTGAGTGGGTATGTATGCACATATATGCTCACATATCTGGAGGCCAGAAGTTGATATGGATGTTTTCCTTGGCCACTGTCCATCTCATTTTTTTTTTTTAAAGAAAGAAACTTTCACTAAACCTGTCACTCATCTATTTGGTTAGGCTCACTGACCAGAGAGCTCCAGGAATCTGCCTGTCTCCGCTTCCCAGTGAATGCAGGAAGACCCTGCCACATTCAGCTCTCTATAGCAATGATGGAGGTCCAAACTCAAGTCCTCATGCTTGCGTGGCAAGCACTGACATGTCCCCAGCCCTAAGTTTATAAGCTTTCCTTAAACTGACTTTTCAGTTGGTGCCATCATGACCTTTTTGCTTATGTACATCGTTGTTTCTGGCTCCTGTTTGTCCCCATTTCCCCTCCCTCATGTTCTCTCTCCTCTCTACCTCTTGTTGGTCACCTTCCTCCCCCCATGTATTCCTTATTCTGCTTCTCTGCCACATATGGAATATATATTCCTGATGTAGATAAATCTAACCCTGAGAGAAAATACATTATTATTTGTTTTTCGTCTGGCCATTCCCCTCTTTTGTACCCACTCCCTATGAGAGAAAGCATGTGATACTTGTACTTTTGCGTAATGTCCCACTTTTAATCAGAATTCTCGAGGATGCATCTGAGATAAGATATTAAGCTAATTTCGCTTTTGAAAAGAACAGAAACCCACAGAGGGAAAATGAGCCCAAGCTTATGCATCAGCTCTCCCAACTCCCTGTGGGCCTTGCTGCCCTGATCCTTTGTTCTCTTCTGAGCTTTCACAGTATTTGAGGGAAGGGTAGAAAGTTAACCTTTCAACTAACCTTAAGTAGATAGATCCTGTGGGAACTGGTGAGAACTTCAGATGAATGCTGTGTCTTGGATCACAGGTTCTCGAGCATAATAATGATAAGTAATATGCACATCAGAAGAGGAGATATGCTTGGACATTTCAGGCTTCCAGAGTTAAGATGCTCTGAGTAGTATTTTGTTCATAAGAGCAGGAATGTATACATACACACACATACATACATACATACATATATATATACATACATATGTACATACCCAACTCTGTCTTTGGAAATGTAAATTATAAACAAAGAGACATGAGATATCTTATATCTAAATAAAGGAAATAAAACATCTCCTATACTATGTCTCCTATGTAAAGGCCATAGTCAAAGAAAGAAAAAAAAATTTTTAAATAGTCAAAGTGAGGTAAAGACACTTTCAGGCTGTCACTTGGCCAAAGACAGACTCTTGGCCTTTCTCGTATGAAAAGGTGTTTTCACCATGAAGAAACAAGGTGACCGACACTTTCCTCCACAGTCACTTCCTTCCTTCCTTCCTTCGAGGACCAACCCTTTGCACACCACCTCGGAAAGTCCTCCTGTTCTCAGCACTTCAAAGATTGGGAAATGTCCTCCATTACATTGCTCCTGAGTTTGGCCTTCTCGATGGCTCACTTCCAGCACCAGCTTCCTCCTGAAGAATCAGGGACCAGAGACATGAAAAGCTCGTGTGTGTGGTCACTGAGCACTTCAAAGTGACAGTGACAAGATGATGCTCCGCACCACCTGAAGTTGATTTCTCACTGCAAACAGGCTCCGGGCCTCTCTGTAGCCAGTATGAGAAGGGCGTAGAACAATTGTGTAAAAAACAATGGTGCCCTCTCCATGTCAGTGTGCATCTGCACAGCTGCAGCCTACCCCACTCACCTCTTCTGACATGCATGCTACTTACCACATTAGAGCTACAATCCCCCAAGTTCGTCTAGGTTCTTGGCTACTTTTCACCACATGGAATGAAGGTTCCAAAAGAAGATAATGGTAGAAAAGTGAAAATAGCGAAAAGGAAAGCCCACCCCATGGCTCTTTTCAGTACTCAGTTGGGTCTCTAACAAAAACCCCTTTCGTCAAATCTTGTGCACAATAGGCTAAGTGGGAAACTGGGAGCCAGATTCCATGTTCCGCTATGTGATTTAATGAATATCTGAATGTGGTTGTTTACTTGCTATCGTAACAATTAACTTGTTCACAAAAGCATTCTGGTCCTGTGGATGCTGAGAATCAGATCCAGCTCAGGGAAGTTTGGCTCGTCCAACATGCTTGGGATGTCAGCTTTACATCTAAGGCAGCTATTCTAAAAATCCCTCGGGGTAGCCTTCCCTGGAAACAAAGAAAACCAAGGTTTTTTTTCCTTATAGAGAATATACCTCAAGTATCAACTGCCCACTGTAGTCCCCTTCCTTCACGTGGACTCTGTTCAATTCTTCATCCTAGTTCAAGCCTATTTCTTTTCGAATCTTTCCTACTTTTCTCAGTTGAGATCTGTATGGTATACAGTCTCCTGAATCCATGCTGCCTGTTTAAAAAAACTGCCCCTACTTTCATTTACAAACCCATGGTTATACTATTTTGTGCACATGAGATAAGAAGTCTCGAATGTATCTACTTCTCTCCAGTTCTGTGTCTGGTACCTTGGTCCAAATTGCTGTCTCCTTTCTCCTGAATTACTACCCCCCCCCTTTAAATTCATCAAAGAACCACTGTGGTTTCCTTCCTCTGTCTTCATGGAAATCTCTCCTTCCCCCCACCTCCCCTCATTCTTTTCCTCCTTCTCTTCTTTCCTTTTTAGTTAACCAATAGAATCCTAGTACATAGAGTATATAAATGGATCAACTGCTACATCATCTTGTATGAAAATTGGACTTTCGAGACATTAACCACACACACACACACACACCCCAAATTGCAAGATTCTCATGGTTAACATCCACAACGCTAGATCTCCCAGATGTTATATTTGTTCTTGTCTTTGGCCTCCCCACAGGTTTCAGCCGTGTTGACTTTCTCACATTAGTTCCTCCCTCCCGGCTTGTTTTTCACAGGTTCCTGCCTACGCAAGAACACTCAGTGCTGGAGTCTCCCTAGACGACCATTTGCCCCACCACCTCACGCTGTACTCCTGTGCTGGGGCATCCTACTCATATCTGCAGCCTCAACAATTCCCTAGGTGAACCAAATTCTCAACACCGATTTCCCTGCTGAGCTCTAAACAGGGATACCCAAACCCCTCTAAGTCTCAGTAGGCGAAGGGTACCACAAACCCAACATGGGCAGAAAGAGGTCTGATTCCTCATCGTCCCCTGCCTGAAATCAACCTTCCTCTGATACTTTCCCTTCCTGAAAAGACCCCAGTGCCTCTTCTCTTATGTAAACTAGACACTAAGAATTAGCTTGACTGCTGTCATAACTTACTGCAATATTGACAGAATTTATTCTAACACACACACACACACACACACACACACACACACACACACACACACTTACCTACTTCATTCTAGTTTGCCACCTACACACATATAAGTTACCTACTTCTCTCTTCTGTCACATCTGGACCCTTGTTCTACACTACCATCCCTTTTGTACCCAAATCACCACAATAACACCATAGATCACTATATACCATAGTTGTCGTCTCTATACCTCCCCAAAGCTGTTTTTCCACTAAAGTCAGAGCTTATCTCTTTTTCAAGACCCAAACTTGCTCTTGTTACGTGCTTCCTTGCCTAAAGACCATCAAAGTTGTACTGCTTAGAAAATAAAGGGGGAATGGCCTTACTAGACACCTTAATTCCCATCGTGCACCACTTCCGGTTGCATGCTACTGTTGTTCGGCACTCAGCCACACTGGCCTTCTCTCAGTTCCAGGAAAGTCACATGCTGTCTCGTTCGGAACATTTTCAAGCTTCTAACAGTCCCCTTGCCCTCTTCCTGACACACATACCTCCCTGTTCCTAACCTCCCTAGTAGCATCAATTTTTCTGATTGCATGCTTTCTCTTTAATAACACCAATATTGTTAGCAATTTTCTTTGTATCCCTGTGCTCGTTTGATCAACAGCTGTCTGCCCCCACAAGGTAAGGCACGATTTGCTCAGTCCAGTCTCAGAACCTAGCAGAGTGCTAAGAGCATCAGAAAAAATGATCCATCAACATCTGAAAGACAAAGGAACGAAACTCTCACCATTCCCATGTTTTCTTTGTTTGTTGTTTGTTTTTGTTTTTTTCTGAGCTCAACAGCAATTTTAGGTTGGAAAATGGCAGAGGAAGTGAGCTGGGAAGGACATTTCAGATGGACTGTTTCATGACACCTTCTTTAGAGAAGCCCCAATGAACGATCTGATGCAGGAGACAAATGAGAAGCCTTCCCCACCGCCTGCTCTCCTGAACTCAAGCTCAGCACTTGAAACCCTCGAGGACACTGTTCTCCTCTCTCTCTTGTCTTTTGTTTCAGATGTTCTGACAAAATCAAAGGGCCTTTGTCAACCAGGACAAAAACAGTCAGGATCCGAGTGTGTCTGTATGTCTCCAGAAGAAGACTGCAGGTATGAAGCACTCTGAAGTGTGCTCCCAAATTGAGAAAACCACTCTAGCACAGCCAGTTCGATGGAGAGGGCTGACCTTGACACACAAACCACAAAACATTAATTTTCACATAACTGAAACTCCTGTGTTCAGTTGAATTCATCTTTTCCTATTGCAGAGCAGGCTCTTTTTAATTATTTCTTTTATCTTCAAGATTAGAATATAACTGTCATTTCCCCCTTCACTTTCCTAACCTCCAAGGGAGCAAGTTTTTTAAATCATGTCTCAGCCTGGCTCCCTAAGTTCCTGTTGTTTTTGTATATGTAAGCAGTCTAATTTTTGTGTGTTAAAAAATTGCTCTTGACCACTTAAAACTTCCAAACTTGACTATGTCATAGCCTTCCCTTCCTTACTGAATGTAATTTAAGGTAGTAACTCCAATAAGTTGAAGTAAAGAAAGTGTTATGAGTATGGACTACACACACACACACACACACACACACACACACACTCACTTGCTGGTTATTTCTTTCATGCTGGGCAGAAAGCAGAAAAACTAGAAGTTCTCAGGTGATTATTGTTGGCTCCCTGTTGCTATAACTCCCTTCCCTTTACTGAATAGATCCAGAGGTATCAATACTGCTTTTTACTTTTAAGAACTCATCTCAGTTGAATGTAAAAGAAATCCCAAGTATCATTTGCTTGATAAAACTTTATTTCTCTATCTCACAAAAAAAAAGAAAAGTGGAAAAGCATGGTGGGTTGTGGTGGTTTGAATGGGAATGGCCCTCACAGGCTCATAGAGTTGAATACTTGGTCCCAGTTTGCGGAACTGTTTGGGAAAGGTTGGGAGGTATGGTACTGCAACTTCTTTTATTGTTTTATTAAAAAATAAAACCCAGGAGTTAAATATTAGAAAGTAAACCCGAGAGATCTACCGAGTAACAGAGACTGACCCTCCTCTCCCACTTCCCAGATAGAACTAGGCACGTATCTTTTGGTCCCCTCCTTATTCCTCCTGTGTGTCCCTCTATCTTCCTCTGAGTCCGCCAGAAAACTCTATGGTCAACTCCAGGCTGCTGAATGTGGACTCCGCCCTCCAAACTAGGGTCCAACTCTATTAGTGGTCTCAGAGCAACAACACAAACAAATCTTCTGCAACAGTTTGCTCTTATTGAGGGAGGTTTGTCACGGGGGTGGTTTTTGAGGATTGAAAAGCCCACTCCATTCCCAGTTAGCTGTCTCTATGCTCCATGCTTATGAATCAAGATGTGAGCTCTCTGCTATTGTTCCAGCACCACACCTACCTGCCTTAATGCGCTCCGCCACCGTGGTGGCCATGGACTCCAACCCTCTGGAAGAGTTAGTCCCAAATTAAACACTTCATTTATAAGCTGTGTTTTTCATGGCGTTTTATCACTATCACAGCAGTAGAAAAGTAATAATGGGTCTCTCATTTCAGGTAAAACAGGGACTCCTCCTTTTTGTATGTTTTTCCTCCTTTAAGATTATTTCATGGTCAGAGATTCTCTGCTAGAGCAGGAAGGAAGACGACAAATGGAAACATTCTTCTTTTGTTTAGTTCTCTTTTCCCTGGAAGACCCATCTCTTGCTTCATCTTGCTAACTTTCTCAGAGTCAAACTAGATTCATTTCCTGAGATAGCAACAGAACATATATATGTTGGCGAGGAAGTCAACAGACTATAACCTTTGTGAATGTGTCGCGTTTAACACTCATTGGTGTAGCTGGAGAGTTTTCTCTCCAGCTCCCACCAACCCCGCCAGTCCCGGAGCCCACTTATAAAATAAACACAGACTCTCATATTATTTAAACTATTTGGCCTAATGGCTCAGGCTTCTAGCTATCTAGTTCTTCTATCTTAAATTAACCCATTTTTATAATCTATACATTACCACGTAGCTCGTGGCTTACCAGCATCTTCACATGCTGCTTGTCATGGTGGCGTCTGGCAGTGTCTCTCCCTTCCCTTCCTGTTTCCTCAATTCTCCTCTCTGTTAGTCCCGCCTATACTTCCTGTCTGGCTACTGGCCAATCAGTGTTTTATTTATATAGAGCAATATCCACAGCACATTAGCTCCCAGATTCCTCTGTACAAATGTAGACAAACTTTGTAAATGCTCAGTCCCCATTATTTGGGAGAGCACAGCAGGCCTTTTTCTCTACAGTCCCTCCAATGTACATGAGCCCAAAGGTGGCTCAATTTGTGCTCCTCAGTTTTTTCCGCAAATGGATTCTTCCTTTTGGAGTCTTGTTACCAGAACCAGCTTTCTGGAAACTATTCAAAGTATCCATATTGTCCTGTTAACCTGGGAAGTTTTTTTCTGTGTCTGTGCAACACCAAATCTTAAGCATATATGCTACCCCTGGAGAGCCCATCAGAACTATGCTACACCTTCCCATCCTTCCTCTGCCCATCATTTCTTCTCCCAAGGAGTACAGGTTTTGAGTGTGGCTAGCACATGGCTTATTTGTTCTGAACAGAGAAAGCTCTACTTTCTGGAAATAACTTTACACACTGGTGCACTGACTGTTAACTCTGAAGCAGACACCACAAAAAGAACTCAGATTTGAAGTAATCTCAGAGATCTGTGCTCTCAGCCAAGAGAAAAACTGATCTCATATTACATTCATAGTAGCGGGATGTATCCTCTTATCTGTGGAGATGAAGCAAGTCAGCCAAGGAATGACTTAAAGCCTCGCGCTCTAAAGCACAGCACAAACACATTTAAAATGTTATATAGTGATATAGATACAGTAGGGCAGCAATTGATTAGTTATTTAGAGTTCCCAGGAGATAAAGACTCTGGGCTACGTAGATCAGCAAAGAGAAAGAATGCAATGCCAATGGGTGCTAGCAAGAAAACAATCTTAAGAGTTTAGAGATGTGATTGATATAATTGCCAGATACTAAACAGGGTCTTGGGGGAGGGAAAAATAAAACAGGGCAGCTGGTTGGAGCTAATCATAGAAAATCTTGGTTGCTCAATTGTTTGGACTTAAACTTGAATTCAGTTATAAGCAATGCCAAGGTTAAGATGGACGTTCAAAAAGATGAGTCTGAGCAACAATACAAGATGAAATGGGGAGGGGAAGACAACTTGAGTCTTAAATTGGCAACGTGTCATATGTTTTTTCCTGCCCTCACATATAACGCTTGCTTTCCTTCCTTGCGCAGAAATTATTCAGAAGATCTCTGCATATTTGATGTGGGATCCAGCCAATACTCCACTTCATCTGCTTGCAAATTTTTGGCTGAAAAATGTTTAAACAACAACCAGTTCCATTTTGTGCATACTGGTTCTTGCCAAGAAGGCCCACAGTTAGAATGGGGTCTTGAGAGGCTACGACTTGCATTGAATAGCACAAAGAGAGTGTCCTGTGGATATGACACCTGCTATGACTGGGAAAAATGCTCAGGTAAGCTACTGCTGGAAAAACATACTAGAAATACTCTTACTTGAGTTCTACTCAGATGGCATGGTCTATGTCCTCCACATTTATACATCATGTTTCTAGAATAGCCTGACTTTAATCAAAAATTATTTATTTTTATTAAAGTTTTAATGATCTAAGTAGAAAAGACAAAAGATGACCAACCAGAAATTAAATGTAACTACCTTATTATTCAGTTGTATATCTTTCCAGTCTTTTCCTGTGTACCTGTAGACAGTGTTATCCTTAGATTCCAGTAAGGGGAATATTTTTTCTGCTCTCTAGCTTCAGGCAGGTGCTGCCATACCCCAGTTGAAGAGTCTTCATGAGAATTATCTAATTTTTTCCCTGTTGGTTCAGACTCAAGAGAGCCAACTGTACTATCTAGAAAAGAGTAGGTTTCAATGTGGATACCAGTTGCTGCAACTTTTTCCTTAAATTTCTTTAATTCCTCTGCTAGTGACTGGGAATATGCAGGGTTGGCAGTATTATTCAATCAGATATTCTGAACCCAAGTTCAGGGTCCCATGGACTCAGCACTGTTTTTCACCTATGGAACAATCTTTGATCTTCTACTGCTTCCCTTCCTCACCTGACCTGTAAGGTCAACCAGATCTCCACAAAAAGCTCCATGACCCGTGGGGACAGTATCATTTCTGTTCCAGAGGTAGATTCTAAATCTCAGAGCACAAGCTAGCGAGTAAATAATTCAGAAAGGACGATTTGCTCAAAATTGCTTGAAACTGGACTACCAATATTGTACTGACATTCTCATTTGGATCACTACTTATAGAGACAGCCAAATCCATTAAAAAAATTGAACCTGGTGCCTCACATATCTCATGTATTGCCCTGCATACAATACACATACATAAAAGATAAAATGGGAACATACTATAGAGGATATTTTATAAATTGATATGTTCATTTAATATAACATGATTTAAATAGAACTTTTTCCATGCTCTGATATTATTGTCACATAATTTTAATGTCTACAAAAGTCTGTGCAAATATTAACTGTGATTTATTTATCCAATGTTTAATTAGTTTAAAATTTCCCTGATACGTTGGTGTTATAAGCAGTGCTATGACAGAAAAATTTATCACAGATGGTTCTGCTAATCCAAAATTATTTTTTTAACATATGCCTTAGAAAATGAAAGCAATGAGTAAATAATATTTAATGATGTTTTTAATCTGTATCTTGACAATTCCTTACAAAATGGTTAGAGATTAGGAGTTAACAAAACTCAAATGGGCATCTAGATTCCCCTTAAGACACATTTTCAAGAAATGTATCTGAAACTTAGAAGTAAAGCCCACAGTAGAAACCTGTGGGGTTGTTTCATCTAAAGCCACCTGATGCTCTTAAGTATGCCCTTTCAGTTCCCAGACCAAGGTTCTTCATCTGAGAGAAGAAGAAAATTTCTTACTCAAGTCCACACT